AATTATTATCTTTATAAAAAAATTATATTATTAAACCAAATATAAATTACTTCGTTATTGTACATAAATTAAATTATAAAAAAAATGAATTAAAAAATTACACAAAAAATGAGGAATTTCAAATAGTTAATTTGATACTAATATCGATATATTTTTGTCAATTTTTTATGATATCTTCAAACAGATATTTTATTCAAAAATAAAAACATCATCGCTTTCTCAAAATCACATAAAGCCATATTATAACATCGACTTAGATAAAGAATAAAATGAAATATTAAAATCACGATGTATCTCGCTGTATTGCGCGAGTATGCTTCTAGTATATATATATATATATATAATTATAAATACTTAATATTATATTAAAATTTCATTTATAGAGATCAAATTTTTTGATCTTTAAATACATAGGCCAAATTTAAAGACATCTAATTTTCTTATAAACAAGAAAAAAGGGTCAAAGAATATTGGAAACCCCTTTTTTTATTAACCTGGATATCCAACCTGCTATGCGAGCCGACTAATCCCAAGATGATCATCTGCTTTGCAGATAGTCCGGAGTCACCGCATTTGAACCTCAATGACCACAAAGGGATTTTTATTCCTCCTTTTGAACCCAAGACCTCTAGATACTTTTGACATTTGGAGCTTAGCTCAAACCAATCAAACATCACCCTTGTGGTTGGAAACTCGTTTCTTCCAAACAACAATAAATATTTCATCACTAAACTAAAATAAACTACACTTTTTGTTTCTAAATTTATTATCGAAACTACAATAAATTTTGGATTCAATGAATTATACTAAAATTTAATTTTTAATTTGATACTAATATCGATATATATTATCTTTTTGTTTTTTATTGGGATTTCAAATTAGAATATGTATAAATTTCACCCTGTGTCATTTTTATTTAATTCAAAAAAATTTGGAATTTTTATTTATTTTTAATAAAACATTACATCGACTTCTTATTCTTAGTTTATAATAACATATTGTATATAGCCAGAGCATCACACTTGTACACAACTAAGAGCATGTTTGTTAGTAGCTTAGTGAGTTTAAAGAGACTTACAACTTATTCGGTCAGCTATAAATGATTGTTTGATAATGACTTAATGACATATAAAGTAGCTTAATCAGTAAGTTTCAAAGGGAACCTTTATGCAAAAAAACATTTTTTCTTCCAAAAATGTCTCTCACAATTAAAAAACACGATCGTTTCATCTATGAAAAAACTCTCTCAAACAAAAAATTATCAATCTGTACAAACAACTTTATCCATACTTAACTTAATGAAAAATAACGAAACAGACCCTAACTCGTGTTATTTAGAATCGATATGTACCATTACACGGGTACACCTATAATATAAAAACGAGAGCTTATGATACTTGGTTCAAATCATGTTCTAGGTTTGTCCCAACTTTTTGAGAACATAGCCTTAAATAATTCATACTTTGAAGCAGATATATCAAGTTTATTTGATTTGTTTAAATCAGATATTATTCAAAACTGAAACTTTCTAACATATGTGATTCAATATGACACTTGGAACACATATCCAACCAAACTAATAGTTTCAAGTAAAAGCTTTAGGTGAGATGAAAAATGAAATTATCTAATTATATTAGGCCCAAAAACTTAATTATTTAACTAACTTATTATTATTAAGCCTAAATATTAATTGATTGTGGATCTCTTTTTAACAATCAGAAAACGCCCCAGCATAAAAGGATCCAATAGAAATGGCCTAGTTAAAAGCCTTAAATTCGACCCAAACAACTAGCCCCAAGCTTGTAGGTCAGTGCCTATCTGATCCGGACCCAAACCAAGACTCATGAACCGCACCCAATCCGACCCGTTCAGTGTTTTCTGACTTGACGCGGGTGTAGCCGTCGGCAACGGCTTCTTTAGGCCGTTTGGCCTTGTTTATGATCTATTTTTGCTGATTTTTTTGGTTAAAATTCTAGAAAATGATTTTCCTCAATCATAAGAAAAAGAATCAATGAAAACCATCAATAAACAAGTCTTATTTGCTCATTTAAAGTTTGGGTTCAAAAACCACTCGAAAATCTTTAAAAAAATTGAAGTCAGACTTTCAAAACTAAAATATGAGACATAAAGATACTAAGGTTCGATAGAGAACTTAGAAGCGAAACTACCCACATAAAGAACTCAAAATTTGGTCGAATATTTTATCTCCAATCGTTGATAAACGAAGTTTTTTTATCTCAAACTTCAACC